AACTACAGAGCCTAATATTTTTCTTGCACTAGCCTGGACGTTTCTATTGGATTACTTTTCAATCTATTTTTATTTTATGAATATTGGCATGAAATAATTAAGTCAATATGTTCTGGTACAGCCATACCAGGAGCTCCAGCTTGCCTTGCTATTTGTTATTTGTTGCATGTATTTTAAAGTTCTCTGCTTTTGCAGTTAGATGGCTTTCCTTACTTTGCAGTTATTGGGTCAATGACCTGTCAATTATCATTAGGTTCCCTAGTTCCGCCCCCTTTTTTGGGTTTTGGAGTGAATAGGAGCCATTTTAGCTCAGTCCACACAGAGAAGCCTTCCTTACAGGACTTAAATCAGGGCCTCCTGTAAAAGGCTTCATCATTTACAGCTTGGCCAGGGAGAAAAGGCCCCATAGCTTGGCCAGGGAGAAAAGGCCCCATAGCTTGGCCAGGGATATACAGAGACAGCCTCTCAGCTCTCTTGCTGGGGATCCAGTCCCGCAGCGCTTCAGCCATCTTCCTCCTCCTGGAAGTTCTGCAAAGTCTCTGTTCGGTAAGGGCCCTTCGCGGCAACCATAAAGCAGATTGGACCGGGTGTAGGGGCCCCACGCCAACAGAAGAGAAGACAGATTGCCCAGGTAGAGGTCAGGGATTTTCCCAACAGTAAAGGAACAGTTGCCTGCCTTTCGGGGCAAGATTGAGAACGCCAATAGTTTATTAAGAAAACTTTGAAGCTAATCGTTGAAGATTTGTTATTTGTTCAGTTATTTGTTTGTTCATCTTTAAAGACTTTGGAGCCCATCTTTTCAGGAAAATCCCAAAAAACCTCTCTCTGAGGCAACCCTGGCATCCCGTTGGGCTAACAGAATTTAAGTCCTGTTTACAGTCTTTTATAGGAGTCCAGCGTGCGACAGCACACAACACATAACTGACAAACTACTACATCAACAAGCTGAGGACAATGTGCTAAGTAAATGGTAATCTTTATAGGAAAGAGTAAACACTACTGAGTAATTGTGTTGCTGATACAATTAAGTTGCAGAACAGCATAAATTGTCATAAAGAATTATTCAGCCATCTGTTTAGAACAAGAAAAAGGAACAACAGAGAGGAAAAAAATCTGGGACATGTAATCACCTCTCAACAAAAGATTGCCCCAGGCATTGCCAGGCCATCAAATGCTAATCAAGGTGGTCAGTTGAAACATTCACACCTAGCTCCAGCAGACAAGAGTCCTTTGTCCCACCCTGGTCATTCCACAGATATATAAACCCATTTTCCTAGTTCCAACAGACCTCACTACCTCTGAGGATGCTTGCCATAGATGCAGGTGAAACGTCAGGAGAGAATGCCTCTAGAACCTGGCCCTATAGCCCGAAAAAACCTACAACAACCCAGTGATTCTGGCCATGAAAGCCTTCAACAGTACAAATATCTAAGGGGCTGTATCAGTTTTCAAGAAGAGGTGAACCGCAAAAATCTGGTCATCTAGTGGTATGATATAAGCATGATTTTCAGAATTGCCCTTCAAGGACACCATTGTTATCTACATGCCTCTTGCCTGTACAGTAGATTATTATCTACATGCTGTAAAGATTTGTTAAACAAAGGGATTGTGCAACTAATTGGTAGAATTATGTTTCCCAAACTTGTGCTTGCTGTTCAAGTCTCAAAGTGATTTTGCATTTCATTAACAGTGTTAGTTCATGCTGTGGTATGATTGGCGCATTTAAGCAAAATAAATATGTCACAACATAGGTAAAGGTAACTGGAAATCTTACAAGCAAACTCTTATACAATGATGTTTTATGCATGCTTATGTACAAACATATTAATAAATTAAAATGCTTTTAAAAAATGGTTTCCACTTATTTTTGTACTTTTTTCTTATTTTTGTATTTATTTTTTTCTGTTCTACAGATGCATTTATATTTCCACCAAATGCTGTCGAAGGACCTTATTGCATGCAGTTTGGGCTCAGTTTCTATGCACTTCGAAAATGAAGTCCCATGGAGGCCATCGTATGCATCTCATATCCAATAGCCCTAACATATAATCCCATGACAAAAGCGCAATTCCAGTGAGACTCCGTGGGACACCATTTCCACAAAGCATGAAAATGGAGCCCAGAATGCATTTTCAGGCGCCAGGTGCCATTCGACTCCAAACAGCAAAAATGGGAGAAAGACAGGGAAAGGACATAGGCTGACTGACCATCCCAAAAGATGGGCCTCAATGGTAGAGAATGAAGTAAGATGGTTCCCTCAATTTTTCCTCACTTTCTCCCACTTTCCCTCACCTTCCTCCACTTTTCCCCACTTCAGAATTTTTCATCCGGCCTGATGGTAAACAAAACAAAGGGGGTGATAAGGGAAGGGATAAGGAGCTGAAAAAAAAAAAACAAAAAAAAAAAAAAAAAAAAAAAAAAAAAAAAAAAAAAAAAAAAAAAAAAAAAAAAAAAAAAAAAAAACAAAAAAAAAAACAAAACAAAGGGGGTGATAAGGGAAGGGATAAGGAGCTGAAACTCAAGCTGTGCTGTCACGCGCTGGGCCTGTGAAAAGGTCTGTAGACAGGACATGTTCTGTATGCCCAACGGAACGCCGGGGGTGCCTCAGATTAGAGGCCCTATAGATTTCCCTAAACAAAGTCTTTAGAAACTTGGAAAGTTTAACAAAGTTCTTTATTAGTGCTTAGGTCTTCAATAAATCAAACAAATACTTCAAGGCTTTGAATCAACTGGTGGCTTTCTTAATCTTGTCCACAAGGGACAGGCAACTATCTTCATGAACTGTTTCTTCTCTATCAGGGAAATCCTTGACCTCTACCTGGGCAATCTGTCTTAGGCTCTGCTGGCGTGGGCCCCTACACCCGGTCCAAATTGCGTTATGGCCGCCACGTGTGGTCCTTACCGAACAGAGTCCTTTTGTAGATTTCCAAGAGGAAAGAAGGTCTTCAATTCCCAGCGAAGGCTGGCTGTATAGCTGTGGGACTGGATCCCTCCAGCAAAAGCTGTAAAAGACGAAGCTTTCTACAGGTGGAAGTGATTCACGTCCTGTACGAAAGGCTTCTCTGTGTGAACTGGAGGTCTCCTTTTCCCCTCCTTAACCCAGAAAAAGGGGAGGAACTAAAGAGCATAATGATAATTGATGGGTCATTGGCCCTATTATTGCAAACCAAGGGAAGCCACCTTATTGCAAAATGCATGGAACCTTGGAATACATGCAAACACTCAAAGCAAGAAAAGGAAGTTGGAGCTCCTGGTACAGCTGTACCAGAACACAAGCCATGGAGCCTAGAACTCATGGCATGTTGAGTGGGAAAAGGTTGAAGGCATTTTGAACAGGCTTCAGTCAGTCCAGTGATCGTTCCAACTGACAACTGAGTCCTCTCAAGCTTTAGTGTCCATTCTAGGTTTTTGTTACCTTTTCAGGTGTTTTCCAGGGTACTGGGCATACTTAGAAATAAAGTTCAGCCCCTTGGAGAACCCCATTAAGACTTTGGTTAAAGGGCTTCTGAGAAGGGAAATCTAACAAGGGAGCTGCAAAATTCTAAAATATAAATAACTGCTTTCTTTTGTCAATTAATTAGAAGCAGGCAAAACAACAACCCCACAAGAAACCAATGCAATAAAATTAAATAGCAATCCCCCCCCCAAAAAACCCCACAAGAAACCAATGCAATAAAATTAAATAGCAATCCCCCCCCCCCCCCAAATCTAATATAGTAAGAATAACAATATCAGAAGAGAAAATGATGCCACCCCTGTC